GAGAGAGAGAGAGAGAGAGAGAGAGAGAGAGAGTGAGTTTTCTGTTTGATGGGTGTATATATTTTTTTAAATCTTAGGGCCATACAGATATGCAGACCCCCAGCGAAAGTATATCTTCTTCACCAAAGCTCATACATCACTCCTGCACGAATTGCTACGCTCCAACTTAGAAGTATGGAAATCATTCGTAAATGATAAGTAAGTACGTCTTATCGTTAGTAAGTAGTAGGTATGGTCTTTGTTAGACGTACCTCTTAACTTTCTGATGTTCTTTATGAGATGAATCAACCAAATTTAACTTCTATCTCCGATAAGACATAGCTTAATTGCTAGAAAGACTTGAGAACTTTGCCGAATAAGCCTAGTTCAAGAATTCCTCATTGATCATTGTCGAGTATCAACCCAGCTAAAATTGGGTACACACATTTTAACACATTTAATCTGTATTAGATAAAATCTCGTATATCATTCGCGTAGTTGTGAGGGACGTTTTCCGGCCATAATATGTGTACGCTATATTTTCAGAAATCATATGATTTGATACAATGTGTACAATGATATTTATATTAGACAATAAACCAAACCAAAAATGTAATGACAGCTATATTATTTGTTTTTGAGATCCTCATTTCCAAGGACGAGTTATTATATTACTTTCAGAGAAAGCCTACCTTTTGAGACAACAGCAGTGATCATCAACGGACATCAAACAAAAGCACCCCAGGGTGGAAATGTTCTGTAATATTATTACTCGGCATACCCTTTTGGTCTAGGTGGAAATCCTTCACTAGTCCACCACCGTCTGTTTCCCTAGGCTGAGAGCCATACGCCACAAATTAATGCCCTTTGGCTATGTGACTGAGAGAAGACATTTCTCGTTTAGGCATAATCGTTGGTGTCAAAAACTACCCAAGAATCTCCAAATGAATAAGAGACTTTCGCGAGGATAATTATGTACCGTGATTTCTTCAGCGGTGGAATCTATTAGATATTTTAACAAGGTGCATAGTAATGTAGATGTTCAATAATCCAAGGGTAGGAATAATTTGACATGGTGCAAGGTAATGAAGAAGCTCATGATTTCTGTTCAGTCTTCAAAGAATGGGATATTCTGGGAATGGCTCGAAGGGGGTTGGAGAGGTGTTTTAAAACTTCACGTGGTGTACATTAGCGGGTAGGGCTGCCAACCCAGAACTCGGAGATAAAGAAGGAATCGAATATTGGTCCTCAACAAGCAGACCCGGATAATCAGAAAATATGTTAAATGTTTTGTCAAAACAGTTGTGTGTCAGACTGCCGCCACATTCGAACAGACACAGAGCTACTCCATTAACATAGGTACGAGACTTGAAATAGATGGGTTTGATTCAAGCCTCTGAAGTAAAGATTTATAGGACGAATTCCCGTCT